TGGAAGGGCCCAAAACCTGAACACAGGTTTCGAGGGGCGGCCTCGCCAGTGCCCAGCACCGTGCCCTGTGGCAGGCACCACTTTGGCCTGAGGAACAGCGCAGCTCCCACAGCCGCCCTCGCATGCCTGGCCCGGCGGAGAAGGGCTTCCACCATCGCTTCTCTCCCTTCCCAACCCTCGTGTCTCCATCAGACAGGACAAGCAAGCGTTCGGTGGCTTCTCCGAGGGCGGTGGCAGCAGTGGCTGCACACACAGCAGTAAATCGGGGTACCCAGGGCTGCGCCTGGCTCCGTGGTAGGACGGTGCCAGGCCAGTAGTGGCGGGTTTGAAGTATTTTAGTTTGTAATCTCCCTTGGAAATACGTGGTAATTACAGGAGGACTCCCTGGGGTGGAGAGCGGCACGTGTCCGTGGAGCAGAGCGCTCCGTGTGCCAGACGGATGTGGACACGCTGGAGCGGGTCCAGCGAAGGGCTGCGAAGACAACTGGGGCATCGAAGTGTCGGACAGACGGGGAGAGACTGGGAGAGCTGGGACTGTTCAGCTTGGAGAAGAGGAGGCTGAGGGAGATGTTGTCCTCACCTCATGGAGACCAAGTGGTGCCCGGTGCCAGGGCGAGAGGGAATGGGCACAAATGGAAACATGTGACATTCCATTTAAACATCAGGAAACTTTTTTGCTGTGAGGGTGACCGAGTGCTGGCACAGGCTGTCCAGAGAGGTGGTCGAGTCTCCATCCCTGGAGGTGTCCAAAACCCACCTGGACACGGTCCTGGGCAACCAGCTCTGGGGGACCCTGCTTGAGCAGGGGTTGGACTAGATGATCTCCAGAGGTCCCTGCCAGCCTCCGTGTTCCCGTGACTTTGTGATTCATCACTACCACAAAATAAGGAAATCAGGAAAAAATGAGAATCAGGGAAAACAGAGCAAGGACAAAGAGAATCATCCCGTAACCCATAATTATCCTGCACGGCCTAGCTCTGGACCACTCCCTCGCTTTCCTCTCTGCTTTGTGCCTCCCCATGTGATACTCCACTTTCTTTTCCGTTAAATTGGGCTCCAGGTACATGTCGTTGCTGTACCACTTGCCCCCGTTCTCCCGCACCACGTGGTAGACCATCCCCATCAGCTTGGTGACCTGCTGGTCCCGTTCGGCACCGACTGCTCTGTTGTTGAAGCCGCAGTACCTGCTCCCACACCGCAGGATCAGGTCCTGGAGCGCTCCATTGCCGCAATACCGCAGGTAATCGTGCAGCGACCTCCCCGCCAGGTCTTCTGCGTGGGTGAGTAAGACGATCGCGTGCTTCAAAACATCAACTCCAAAAATGTCCTGCAGTCTCTGCGTGGCCGCCTTGTCCTCCTCCGTGAATTGGCCCAGCTCGGTTACCAGCAGCAGCGCGTGGGGGCCTGGGGAGGACAGCCTGACGCAATGAGTAATTTCTTTGTACACCTCACTGACGGCAGCTCTTGGATCAAAAATATCGGCCGTGTCAATGACCGTGATGTCCGTGCCTTCGCAGTGCCCTCGTGCTTGCGCACAGCTCACGGTCACCGGCTCGGTCGCAGGCTTGGACTTGAACACGTGTTCTCCGAGGAGGGTGTTCCCGCTGGCGCTTTTCCCTGCCCCGCTCCTCCCGACCAG